GAAGAAGAAGAAGAAGAAGAAGAAGAAGAAGAAGAAGAAGAAGAAGAGGAAGAAGAAAAACAGGAGGAGGGAAAAGTAGATCATTACTGACTCAGGAATGTGTTCCAAAAGAGGCAAGAGTGTGTGAAGTGGGGCGCTGACTAATGTGAACCTGATCCATAGGCCTGGAGTGTTACATAGTTTCCAGTGTCTGAGGAAGAAGAATACGGTCCATGGATGGGAGATGAGACACCAGAGAAAAGGCAGTGGAGTTGAAGATTGGAGGAGAGAATACTCCAAACTGGACCAGAAGATAAATCACACGTTGGGAGGAGCCCCTGGGGAAGGAGGCAGGGAGTAAAAGACATTTCAAGACAGAATGGCCACACATGCTTTAAACGTTTTGCTCAAGATCATAAGCTTGTAGTATTTGGTTAACAAATAACCAAAGAAAGCCTCATCTGATTTTCGTAACAGTTACTTCAAAACAGTACTTAAAACAAAACCAGCCATAGGATGGGAAGGATGTTATAAGAATAAGAAGAAAGAATAAAGACTGGTTTCTTGTCCGAAATACTGAAAATAAGTAAATAAACTGTCAAGCAAGGAGTCTCTACCCTATTTCTTCCCAACTTTCCAAAACAAGGATGAAGACGGCTGACACACAAGAGGAGAGCAGTTTGCAACACTTACAGATTCACAAGAAGTGTGCAAGGGAATCTTTGAAACAAAAGACAGCAAGTACAAGATGGGACTCTGCATCTACCTAAAAGAATCAAGAGAACAAAAAAATACAAATAAATCACCGTGTTTAAAGTCACTAACAGCTGAGAGATAAGCTCTAGTGTGCTCTCTGCTGCTACCAGGAAACAGTGGCCAAAATCAGTGAGGGGTGAGGGGTAGGCTTATTTGGCTTACAGATTAAGGTTCATCATCAAAGAGAAACTGAGGCAGAAACTGAAGCAGAGACCACAGAGGAACACAGCTTACTGGCATACTTCCCAAAGTTACCTTTCTTATACAGTCCAAACCCTCCTGCCTAAGGATGGCACCACCCACAGTTGGGTGACCCCTACCCCATCAGATAGCAATGGTGGGGTGTGTTTGTAGTCTCAGTATTAGGGAAGTGAAAGCAAGAGGATCCTGTCTGAGCGATGCCAAAAAGATAAAAGCTCTTGAGTGAGTGTGGGCAAGGTCGTTAAGAAAGAGAACTACTGAACACCGTTAGTGTGGTCTGTAAACTCATGCAGCTATTTTGGAACACGCTATGAATGTTCTTCAGATGTTAAGAAAGAACTGCCGTATAATCTGGCAATCCCACTAGTGGGTGAATGGCCAAGTGATAGGAACTCAGCATGTTGAAATGAGACCTGCATTCTGCGTTCATTGGAGTATTATTCACAATAGTCAATCGACTTCAGCATCCTTCAGCATGAGCAGATGTATAAAAGGCAGCGTGTATACAGAATGGAAAACATCTCTGCCCTACAG